TACTTCTTGGCATTAATAACAACTATGTGCCATAGAAGCCTGAAAAAGCTGTCAGGAAGTGAAAAACAATTTAGGTTGGAAGGAGTTTCTGGAGGTGATGTAATCTAAGCCCCAGCTCAAAGCAGAGGTAATGTTAAAGTTATATATGTGCAAATATTCTCTCCACAGTATATATAAATAAAAAGTATTGTGTATATAGTGAGCACATCCACATTTTATACACACACACCAAAGAGCAGACACCTGCAGCAGTGCAATCGCTACCCAGCACTAGGATCTGCTCCCAAATGAATAATGACTTTGAGTAATGGCAAGCCAGCCCATTTTTGACAAGATTCTCAGCCACATCCCTCAGAAGGTGATGGGACAGTGTAACCTTGGCCAGGCACCCCTGGGAAGCCAGGCCCTGACACATCCTCCCATGCCACAAGCACTTCCTCAAACCAGTCTGTGCAAGTCAAATAACTCAAGATGACAGCAGATTAGATACACTGCAAAGCAGGGATATCTGGCTTCCCCTCTTTGCCTACATCTCCTTCCAGTCTGAGAGAAGAACTTTCTCACCTGCCCTACCCACTGTGCATCCCCACCAACAGGCTCTGCAGTAAATTGGGATGGGGTTTCCTTGGGCAGCTCTCCCTTGTGGAATGCCCCAGAGCATCACGACCTCACAGATCCTGCCACAGACACAGGGACCTCCAAGATCTGGAGTTTTTGCTGCTTCCCAAAGTTCACATTGACATCATTGCCTCTGGAAGGGCACATGTACGAGCAGGAGCCCTAATGAAATGCCAGGCTGTCTGCTCCACACAGGGGAAATGTTAAGTCCTGCAAATCTTGTGTCCCTCCTGTGCTTTCCCTGATGCTCTCAGTTTCTGGCAATGTCCCTGAGACACCTCTGAGTGTCAGGAGTTGGGTTCTGATTTGCAGAAATATTCTTTAGAGGTGTCATAAAGATATTCTGAGAGCTGCAGTTTTCAAACTAAACAATGTCTATGTTTCAGAGGCTTTTAGGATTTTTCCTCCAAAACTAGACTAAGTTTTCACCAGCTGATCTCACAGACACTGATCCTTTCTTTCCCAAGAGCCCTTCTTGTCTCTAGTGCTGTTACCTGCTGTGGGAACAGAATGAAAGGCACACCAAACAGAATACTAGAAAAAGGACAAGGATCTGTGCATCAATTCCCATAACAAATCCTTTTTTGGTTTAACTGAAGTTTCAGGGTTCACCAGTCCCTGTGTGTGCACTTGCACACACACCAACCCACAGCTGCATATACATCTGTCTCCCTGCAAGCAGCCCCAGCACAGAGCCCCAGTATTTGCCTTGCTTTCCCCAATAAGAAATATGAGATTCCATTGTGTTGGCTCAATCCATATGGCATCTGCCCTCCTCACCCCAAACACCATTACCCATGCAAGGAAGGGCTCATGCTTTAGCAGATCTATTGATCCACACAGACCTTTGGGTGGGGAGGAAAGCCTCTTTAATTAATTTGGCTGACTTTCAGGTTCTGTTTTGCCTTAACAATGCCTTGAGAAATCCAGTACTGCATTTTAGCATTGTTACCACTTAACTTAGGTTTGGAATTTTGCTCCCCAGAGAGGCACTTTCTACCTCAGCCTGGCCAGCCCATGCTTGGCATCAAAATCAGGCAAAGTCATTCATTTGCCTTCTCTAAGGATTTGATAACCTCTACACTTCCCTCAGCCAGAGGTGTTTTGACCTTTAATTAAAAGGAAAATTTGTTGTCTTCCACTCAGAAGGCAGCAAATAATGAACTCATTAAAATGAGGTTACCGTTCAGGCCTTAGAGCAATAAGAGCCAAAGTCTCATTAGCAGCTAACAATCCAGAACACAGCACATAAATAAACCTAATATGGCAGAGCAAAATGCCTTGGTGCATTACATTTGAGCAGAATCAAATGTTTACAGTCAATGATGTCTGGGGCATGAAGTTTTAATGTACTTAATGAAGGAAAGCAAATTGCTTCTTATTAGGCATGAAATGTTCCTGCAGAAATCGCCCCAAAAAGTTTATTATGTAAATGAGGGATAGAGTTATAATTAACGAGGACATAGCAGGGAAATATCAACTTCTTCCTAATAGATGCACCAATTATGAAGAATAAAGACACAGCAAGTTCAAATCTACAAAAGGTAATTATATGGATTAATGTAAAGAGCTACTGAATGCAATATAATGAAGAAACTGTATCTCGTGAGAGTCAGAGAGAAGCTTCACTGACAAAGCAAAGAATCAATTAACAAAGTTAAATCCGTGAGTTTTGAGAGATTCCAGGCAATTAAGGGCTTGCATTTGAAAAAACACCTTAAGTTACCTTAAAAAATGCCCCCGTCTTTACTTAGGCACGGAGGTGTGCCTGTTTTTTCCCTGCACAGCGTGCTCCATGATTCTTTCCTTGGCAAGGATAATCAGTAAGCATGATCTATTCAACTGCCCCAAAATAACCACCTGTGGGTTTAACAGGGAGTGCTGGTTGTATTTCCACAGGCATGCAGTGGGGACAGGGATGGGATGGAGATCACTGAGCCCTCAGGGAAGGAGGGATACCTGTGAAGCCAGGGACAGCAGGAAGAGTGGGAATAGCTGTGTGGCACCTGGCCTTGGGAAGGGAACAGCTTTCCAGCTGTTAAAATTCAATAGCCCTTCTCTACCCTGCAGAGCCTTCAGAATCAAATCAAATAAATACCTTCTACCTCCCATGGAACCTATGCAGATCCCAGGAAGGTTCCTGGCCCTGGATGCCAGGGATATGCAGCCTCTCTACCCTTTCATTAAAGGTAGGAAAGGCAGACCCTAATCACCTAAAAAGTTGTTCCATATTAAGGGAGTGGAAGACGTTACTGCCCTTCCTCCAAACAGACAAGCAGTGACAAAATAAATTTGGACTGTCTTAGCTGACAATATCTTCTTAGCATTAAAAAGAAGGGAGGTCACGACAACAAAATTGAGCTGCATATTATATAAATTAATATGCATATATGGAAATTGAAATGGCAAGAAAAAAAGACTTTAGGACCAAGCCAAATCCAGTTTGAGTGACAGATTTGCCCTTTAGACAGAGAATAATGCTTGACACACTGCAGGTACCAGGATTTACATCTTAATCCTCACTCTGTACTTTTAATGAGGTCTCTCTGGGCTCCTGCCTTTCCTGCAGCTCTGTCATCTTCCTGAGATGTGAGGGGAGCAGCAGAGGAGCCCAGGTGATGGAATGATGTTTGTTCCCTGCCCCTTCTCGTACCGCGCGTTAAGCGATGATAATTTCTCAAGATGTTCTTCCCTCAAAGGAAAATTAAATTGATTTTGCTCAGGCCATCAGTCTTTCTCAACATATCTAAAGTGCTCTAGATAGCTTGGAAAATTACGTTCTAAAATATAACGGCTCTGATTCTATGCTTCTGACTTTAATGGTGTCAATTTAGTGGCAGTTTTTACCAGCTGGGGATTTTCCTCAATGTCTCAGCTAACAGTGGTGTTCATCTCCAAGATTTTACATTTTAGTGAACATTTACTTGTTATATATTATGTAAATATAGTCCCACATGTGAAATTGTCACAGGATTGAAATAACCAACTTACTAAATGTCTGGCAAGATAGGCTGGAAACCATACAACTACCTTAATATTTAATGCTAAAGCACAAGATTTACTGTCATAAGATTACTTCATTTCCTTTAGCAAGGCGAGGAATTTGCTTGGTGACTGTTGCAGCTGATAAACACTATCTCAATTTTACGTCTTCCTTGCCACCCTAAGTATGTTTCTATTTTAAAAAAATCAAGGCAGATGCAGTCTCTTGTATTACACTCACACACCTCAGTTGCTTAAACCCTGCTTTCAAATGTTTATCCTGCACTGGAGAGACTTTTGGTTTCTGGTGCCAAGTAGGGGCTCTGGTCCTTGCTTAAATTAGACCAAAAAACTATTTTCCTGCGAAGTTCAGTGAAATTATGACCATACAGAGTGCAATTTTTTTCAAATGAAGGCCAACATTAGTTGGGCTGGGGGTGTGTGCAAACCACTGCAATCATTTTATCTTTGAACTCTGCAAGAACATGAAGGTCCAATCAATAGAAGTGTTATTAATAGATAATAGGAAAAGTTCTCAAGGGCCACATAATGGAGGCACAGAAAATTGATGAAAACAGAGTTTATAACCTATTCAGCACTGGCAAGGCCAATAGGGAGAGAAATGCACCCTCCATCCCACATGCAGCACACCCAAATTCCAGGGGCTGGGCACCCAAAGCAGATCTGTGCACAAGGACCAGCTCCAGGAGCAGTGCAGAGCTAACAACCAGTAGAAAACATCAAGTAAAGCTCACACAGGCTTAGCCATCTTCTCTCTTTCCCTAGAAGCTGGAAATATGTCCAAAACCAAAATTGGACAAGTGGCCAAGACTATTTCTTCTATAAGCAGCAGCCTTTCCTTCCATTTCATTTCCAGTGGGCTTATTTTAGCTTGGAAGAGAGAATAAAAATAAACTTTAATTAAATTAAAAATGCATTTATGACATGGACACGGCTTCTACCACAGGTCAAACCTGAAGCTTTGCACATTCACACTTAAGCCTGAATTTGCTCTTCAGGCACAGCCCAAAATGATCCTGCAGGTAAGTAAACCCCAATGCCTTCATGCCTAGATGCTGAGTAGTACTCCTAATTTTGTTTTGGGTTTTAAGCCCATTTTATCAAGCTTCACCAATAACCCAGAGCATGGGTGATCCAGTGATCCAGTGTATTGCTGCCTCTGAGTGGCTGGATTTGAGTCCTGCCATGGAACACTGCCCCAAGGGATAATATCCTGGGCCAAACCACTGAACCATCACCTCCTTGGATTCTCAGGCACTCTCACTACCTTTTCTAGTCCATCCAACTCTCAAGCTCTCTGTAATAGTCCTATAAAAAAAAGATGAGCCCAAAATAATATTAACTTTTCTAAATCCATGTTAATTTCTTATTTATTTCAGGCTTTACTAGAGACTCAAAATTTACTGCGCACTCAGGTTGCAAATTTTACCTTCAACCTTGGATTTTCAGGAAAATTTTACCACACAGGTAAGAAGAAACTTGATGCAGTTAAATAGGTGACAGAATTTTAAATCTAGCTTTAACCATTCCCTTTCTAAATAATCAGTGGGAAATATGTGTTCCATCATTTCAGTGTCCAAAGGGGTAAAGAAGCACTGTGGATGAACTGCTCAGGTACACAAGGATGCCCTTGATGTTTTCCTGAAAGATGTGTGGTGGTAAATCTTAGTGTTATAAAGGAGGCAAAGTAGTTGCAGAGATTGCTGTAAATTCCTCAGGAGACAGGCCAGCACAGAAGACAGAGTAAGGTTTTTCAGGTGTGATAGGTATGATGAAATATAAAAGATTGGGAAAATCATGTCTCAGAGCCTCTGAGGAGGCAGAAGCATTTCAATGGGTTGCACCAGATTTTGTTATGCCTGTGAAGGAAATCTGTCTCAGTAATCTGCAAATCAGGAGGGATAATAAAGGAAAACATGATGAAAAGAAATTTGTATTGAAACCTGTGCTTCTGTGGAAGATGAGGCACTTCCACATCTCCTAATCCTTGTGACTCCTTTCTCCTTTTTGCTCCATTTCTTCACAGCACAATAGCCCCTTCTTAAAAACGTTATTTCTTTTCCTCCTCTTTTGTCTTCCCCTTTGCTGCACTGAGCTGTGCTGCTCCCTAGTGCTGCTGAGGCAAGAAGAGACTCCCTGCAAGGGAGAACCTCCTGTCCTTCTTTCCAAATCCCATAACCCTTCCCAACACTGGAGACCAGCTCCCAAAGCCTCAGCTGTCAGCCCATTCAGCCACACTCACTGAGTGATGCCAGGGAAACTTATCTGGACCTTGGGAGAAGGCAGCAAGAGGATGGGAAGGGGAGTTTAAAACCTAGGAATGAGGCAGTGCCTGCCTTCCTATACTGTGAGGCAGCTGGATGAGTAGAGAGAAGGAAAAATGATGTGTTTGTATCACTGTCACTAAGTCCAGCCTGTTCTCCCCTTGTGCAAGCACTTAATGCTGAGCAACTGCTGCCCAGGAAACCTCCTGGACTAAAGATCCAGGCTGGAGAGTCTGGGAAAAAATGAGAGGCAGACAGAGATGGGATGACTTGCCTGCAGTCATATAACAAGGCAGTGGCAGAGCTGTGGTCAGAGAGCAGCCCTGGAGACAGAACTACACACACAGCACTTCACACTGCCCTGCCTGTGCAGCTGCTCCTGCTGGAGATGAGCTGGGCTCATGTGCAAGGCAGCAAAACAAACAAAAGCAGCCCGAGGCTCTGCTCCTCCAAGGCAGGAAGCTGCTCACTTGTGGACATCTCCAGAGAGCAGCTGGTATCGAACATCGGTGTCCTTTGTGGAGAAAGGTGGTCCATGGAGGAAGAGATGGTATTACTAATAATATCATGACATAGTGGGCAGTGGCTGGCAGAGAAAATGCATCCTTTGTGAAAACACCACTCCCTGACCTGCCTTTTCCTTCTTTCCTTCATCCCAACACCCTCCACAGGTTTGTCACAGATTTTCTGATACAATGCTGAGCAATTTCAGAGTTGCTAGTGCTGTAGAGAGAGAAATGAGGAGGATATGGATGTGTGTCCATGTTCCTCAGCCTCTCCAGGCCCCTAAAAATAGCACAGAAATACTTCCCAAGCTGAAGCATGTCCCTGGCTCCATGAAGAGGTCTGGATGCAGCTGGGTTTTTAACAGAGCACTTCATTTACAGGGTGGGGATGGCCCTTTCTCATCTCAGCTTACTGGAAATCTTGCAGATTTACAGGGTGGGGATGGCCCTTTCTCAGCTTACTGGAAATCTTGCATCATATTCTCCATGCAATATACTCTTTATTGACTCATTATCAATAAAGCCTGGAAAGATGTTCTTTAATTACTGTACACATGGCTTGCTGACCCACAGATGCTTTTACTAGCAGGTACTCAACTTCCTTAGTGTGGCATTGTGCTCTCCTTTCAAAACTTGGATCATTTTAAAACTACAGGAGGGAGATGAATGTGGTGATGTGTTGGCAGATTAAACTGTTATATGTTTTCCTGGAAAGAGGCTGCTGACAAATCAGATATTGCAGTAGATCAGGCCACATCAGCTGGTAAACTCTGCCCTGCATTAACACCATCAGCAAAGAGAATGAGCACACCCTGTTAGTTCTGCAGCTTTAACAAACACTTCCCCCTTGCTCATGCTGCAGCATTGAAATGAAGACATTTTCAGGATTTGCATTTATGATGTACAAGATTATTGGTAGCAGCTTCCAATCATATAACTACAGCTATAGTTTTAAAATACGGGGTGAAAAACTATGCACAAACAAACTTTGAATTATATACCTGTGTAAAGTGCACTCAAAGCAGACACATGGTCACCCTGTTCATAGGTTTTACACATTTTTCAGATTTCACATTTAAATAAAGACAATTACAGAAAGGATGTTGATTGTACAAGAAATTAAAACCTCAAGATCCCTTGTTTAGCCTCCAATACTCTGAATAAGGGGTTGGGCAGAAATATTTAAACAATATAAGCACCCACCAAATGCTCCATTCAAGCTTTGAATGAGATTTCTTCAGAACTAACACTAGCTAAGAATTCATAAAATCAAACAATATTCTTTTCTAAAGTTTGTGAGAATATTTAACCTCATAAGCAATGCCACTACCTAAGGTTAAACTTGCAACCTTTCTGCATCACCTCTGGCATTACAGGATGGGGTTCTTCTTCTTTAAAATGAAAAGCACTAGGCTTCATCTTGTTTGGGTTTTGTTTTAGTAAAAGAAGTGCAAGGTTTTATCAGGTGTATATCTAAATTTACAAATAAATTAATGAGCAAAAGCAGGATTTATTTCAAGAACCACACTCTACTCCAGAAGTTAATAAGGCACTAAATTATACTTTGACCTAAATCTACCATCTCTGATTGTAGTTCTTCCTGTATTTCAAATTCCCACTTGTTTCCTCTCCATCCCTAACTTGGCCTTATCAAAGAGATCCTCAGCTGCCTCACAAACCCCATTTTCTCCCTGCTCTGTCCCACTTTGAAAGCCTTTGTTAAGTTTCTTCCCTTACCCATACCTGAGTGACTGAAAGTGAAGCACATCTCCCCAAAACCAAGCCAGCAGTCACTCCCAAAATGCAGGGCACAGAGGGAGCAGCCATCAGGCCTTTGTTTACACGATGGAATTCTCCAGTAAACAAGGTTGTTTTCTTTTTCCTGCAGCACTCCCATCAGCAGGAGCAGCTCCCTTAGAACTTGCAGAGTGCTGCAAAGAGGGGAGCAAAGGGATTCTGTGACTCTGGGAGAAAGTTTCAAAGTGCTGCTCTACTTGTGTAGTGGCATTCTTCAAAAACCACCGCAGAAATGGAAAATAAAAGCCAAGAGCTGAAGTGCAGGCACTGAACAGGCATCTCTGGATGTTCCTGCCAAGTAAACAGTGACATTTGCTTCCAATGAGTTTTGCAAAACATTAAAGGGCCTGTAAGAAGACAGAATTTCTATGTTTGCATCAGGAGACTGATTTTGGCAATCATTTCTTAGACTGAAGCAAAATAAAAGCATTCAAATGGCAAAGAACACGAAGGAAATGTGCTAAAAAGCAAATATTGTTGGGTAGCTTGAAGGTGAAGCTACTGGAATGTCACTTTGCCTTTCCAGGCTGGAAAAGCAGGGCAGATGTGTCTGCAGATGGTGGGAGAAGCATTGTGTCCTTTCTGAAATGGAAGGTTTTCTTTGTTACAGCCACATATCCTCACTTCTGCCTGAAGCAGACACCCCTCACTAACACAGGAGGTTTTATTGGGTTTACTTCAAGATTAAATCTGGCCAAAATTGAATACTGAACCCTAAGAAATATTTGGAAGCCTTTTGCCATTACAGCTTCATGCTTTCCACCTAATTGTATCTTAAAACTTGTTTCACACTCTACCAGCAATGATCAGATTTCAATTAACCAAGGGTAATAAAGTGGTAGTTACAAGGAAGATAGAGGGAAAGCATTGGTAAGATTTCATTTTTATCCATATGTTGCCTTTATGGAGTATTTTCTATTTAACAGTGACATTATTATCAGGACAAAATGGAAAATAACTGATGCCTTTTCTTTTATACTGAACATCATCATTTGTCCAGCTTTCAAAAGACCTGGAAAACAGCATTAATATTCCTGACACTGTTTTGTCACGTTAAATCCAAGCTGCCAAGTTATGGGGATGAAAAAGATAGTGTGGCATTCAAATAAAGCAAATAGAGAAAATGGGGAGGGGTGGTTTTTAAGATCATGTATTTTAAAAAAATAAGTCCTACTCTTTATATTTAATATTCCCATAGTCCACAAACATAACAGGAACACAGTGAGACAGGCCAAGGACACCAGGGTTTTTGGCAGTCTCTTTTGTCTTTAAAAAGCAATAATGGGCCTTTTTTGCTTTCTAGTATCTTTGCCAAGCTGCCAAGTTATGGGGATGAAAAAGATAGTGTGGCATTCAAATAAAGCAAATAGAGAAAATGGGGAGGGGTGGTTTTTAAGATCATGTATTTTAAAAAAATAAGTCCTACTCTTTATATTTAATATTCCCATAGTCCACAAACATAACAGGAACACAGTGAGACAGGCCAAGGACACCAGGGTTTTTGGCAGTCTCTTTTGTCTATAAAAAGTAATGATGGGCCTTTTTTGCCTTCTAGTATCTTTTTTTGTCCCTTTCTTCCCTCTGCAGGGACTGAGGAGGAGGATGAGGGCGACGACCTGCTGCTGAGATCTGTGGATGAGTTCTGGTGGTTTCCCCACATGTGGAGTCACATGCAGCCACACCTCTTCCACAATGAGTCCTCACTGGTGGAGCAGATGATCCTCAACAAAGAGTTTGCAATGGTGAGTGAGTTCGCAAGAGATTTACTGGGATGCCTTCATGACCATGGCCATGCCTTCCCCACTGGTTTCATGCTTGTCTAAGCAATACCTATGTATTTACTCAGGCGTGCAAACAGAGGCAGTGAGGTTAGAAACTCATCCAAAGCCAGCCTGTTTGTGACTCAAACTGAATTTAGACTTAGCCTTTCCCATTGGCACAGGCTCTCTGCAGAGGGAGCAGCCCTGCCCCAAGTATCCTGGCAGGACCATAGGGATCAGAATCAGTGAAAACACAGCAGATAGCAGCTGGCCTTCTAAGCTTTAGGCAGCAGTTTGTACACAGGTTATCCTGCTAAAGTCTGCTGCAAACATCCTCAGTAAGGCAGGGAGGAAGTTGCAGTGAACCCTGAACCTGGTGTATGGTTTGGGAGAAATCTTGATGCTGACTGAGCTAACAAGAAAAGCTGCTGGGTTTCTCTGTGCCTTTTTAAATGACCTGCTTGAAAAATGCTCTTTATATAGCTAACCTCTTGCTCATATTGACAGATAATGATGCTTCCCTCTTCCTCATTTGTGCTCTGAACTTCCACAAGCCACCCTCCCCCTTTGCCCAGGCCTCACAGTACTTGTACTATTTACAGCCTTTTCAGGATAATTCTGCTGGCTTATTGCACACGACAAAGAGAACCTGAAATCTGTAAATGCTGGCTTTGGAAAGACACTGTGTGGTCTTTGGCCAGGCACAGGAATGCCAAGCAACCAGAGCTGCTCACAGGAGCTGAGGGACACAGTGGGGCTTTCTTAGCTGCTTTGGGAGCAGCAATTCCCCAGCCCTCCCCAGCTCCAAAAGGCCAAGCCCCTTCCTCCCATCCCTCACATGAGCCAAGGCACATCAGGAAAAAGGCAGAGGCAAATGCCTGAACAAGCAGTTGGAAGCAATTTATTCCCTTGTTTATGGAAATATTTTCCCAACAACCTTTAAAGAAAATTAATTAAAAATGGCTTAACTGTTTACTCGTCATGCCAGACTTCTCCCCCTTCCCATCTCCTACTTGGCAGGCTGACTTCTTTTCCTTTCTACAGTTCTGCTTCCCTGTCAGCCTCATTCCTGGCACAGCCTGTTCTTGCCTTTTGTGTAGCCTGGCCCAGAGAGCCAAACAGAGCTGAGATCTTAAATGCAAGAGTAATTTTTTAAACAATCCATACCTCAAAAATACACAGTCCCTTCATCTTTAAACCTAGGGGGAAATTCTCCTAGTATTTTCAGGAAGCATGGAGGCATCCAGGTCGAGCCACCTTTGGGAGTAAAACCTATAGCATAGCCTGAAAACAGAGCTGGTAATGGAATGTGTTTGCAACTTCCACTCCAGAAAGATAAAGCCAGTGTCCTGAAGGGTAGAGACTCCTTAGGGTGCCTATAAATAAGGAGCTGATGTCAGTGAAAAGCTGCTGTTATTACACTTTTATTTCCTGCTAACATTTCAACAGGGGTTGTATCAACCCCTTGACCTTGAATCTATATGAGCTGTACAATTTACTTATGAGAACATTTCTTTTCAAAAGGCTTCCTCGGAAATTCTCTCTTGTGGGAGAAATTCATCTTCCCTCTATGACAGCCTCCCTGATAGCTATCAGAGAGGTCCCAGCCATGACTTCAGAGTGCGTTTTATTCCTCCCTGTCTCATCCTCAGCATCGTGTCTCCTTTGAGAAACAAACTCCCTGTTCTGCAGCTGCACTGCTCTAAGCCCTCCAAGTTAAAGCAAACCTCTTCCCATTATTCTTCGACGTCACGAGGTGGATCCAAATTTAAATTAGACATCTGGAACAGTACATAGAAAATTTGCTTGATGTTATATGTGTTTTGTTTGTTGTCCACTATCTTGATTTAATATTATACTCAGGAGAACACAGCTTGATGCTGGTGCCTTTTTCTCTTGCATTTCTCATTTATTGACCATATCTCCCCACCTCCTGTTTTGGCTGCACATAGAAGTAACACTTTGTGTCAGCTTCTGCCAAGAAAGCTGCAGTAATTATTTGGAAGTGTGATCACATTAATTCTTCACCTAATGCACTATTTCTTTGTTCACTTTTTTAAACATGGCTAAGGAGGTAACAAGGTTTTCAGGAAGGGAGAGCACATCATTATATACAAGAACAATACTCAAGGTTGCTGAAGATCCCAAATAACACCTACAAATTCTGTTTATTAAGACATTTTGTCTCCTCTGGCTGGTAGATAAAAGCCTTGGCTCTGTTTCACATGGCTTTATCCACACATCCTAACAAGGCTCTGTAAAATGGGAGCTTACAATTGCAGCCTGCCTCACACGGCTCTGTCACAGCACACAGATAGAAATCAGCTATCTAAACAGCTCTTCACAAACAGAACTAATTGCTAATTAGGTATCTAATTGCCTTGATCTCAGTGCAGATATGGACACCTCTGTGCATCTGCCTTCAAGGATTCCCTTCCATGCACATTGCTTGGGAACCAGGACACCGCCTTCACCCAGAGCCCTCCAAATTGTTCCATGCATCCCTGAGATATTTATCATTTCCACTGCCTACATGGTGAGAGGAAGTAACTCCTTCACATCTTGCAATAAATGCCATTGCCCCATTGCTCTGGATCTGGCAGGCAGCAGGGGAAGTTTTGCCTGGCAAAATTCTTATCCACGTGTACCCGAGTGATGGGCCCCACAGCTGCACCATCCATAGCCCCATTCCCAAAGCCCTCACTGCCAAATCTCTCATCAAGCACAAGACCCTCAGCCCCAGAGAAACAAGAGACAGAGATTTTAACTGTGCTGAACTAAGTCACAGGCTACCCAAAGTGTTGCTATCCCAATGTCATCCTATTTATGGAAATATGGATGGTGTGTTCCACAGCCTGCCTAAGGAAGTGGGAAATCACAATTAATTTGATTTTCAGTTGGGTTTGAATTGATCGTGTTTTGTGGTTTGGGTTTTTTCTCTATCAGAGGATCCCAAAACCCTTTAAGGACACTAATGAACAAAATCTCGGATTAAATTTTACAAACTGATAATTCCTCAAGTATTATTCTCCTTCTTTATAGGCAATGCAATGGATACATAGAGGCAAAAAATTGCTCAAGGGGAAGTCTCTGATATATTCTACAAATAAAACAAACCAAGCTTTCCCTGCCATCAACAACAAGCTATTCTTCCTCCCCCTTGGTACATCCTTATCTGACAAAAGCAAGTAGAATGTATCTAATCCAAAGCCTGTAGCTCTTTATTCCATCCCCTGGTTTGTTTGCTCAGTGATTATCTTCTGTGCTCATTTGTGAGTACAGAGCCCAAAGCACAGAAGAGATGGGACAAAAAAACTGTCACTGGCTGTACATGGCAGCTGTGAGCTGACAGGAAGAAGAAACAAAGATGTAGAACTAAACAAATCAATTGAGAACCTGCCTAGCAGCACTCCTTGGCTCCCACCTCCTGCTCACAACCAACTGCAGATGCACATTAGCACTTCCTCTGCCTGCACCTCTTGAGCTGCTCAAGCCACAAGTACACCAGGAGCTTTTAATACACCAATTAAATCCCAACAATACGAGGGCCCAGTGACCACACAGCCAAGGCAAAGCATCTACCTGTGATGAAAAGAGCCTAATTTGTCCCTTTATTAATATCTGCACTTAGTGTGGGGAGGGAGAGATGCCCACTGGAGATTGCTTCTAAAAATGGGCTGTGAATAAGGGATAACATCATTCTGTGCAGCAGGATGAGATTTATTCTGCCTCATCTTATTTTCTTCTGAAATACTCATTTGCTGTATCACCTGCTATCAGGCAAAGCCAAAAGGCTGGGCAAACTTAGCTGAGGTTCTATTTAGCTTTTTCACCTAATAAAAGCCTTCCCATCTGCACCTTGAGTGACTGCATGCAAAGACTTACAGTAGAGATAAAATTATTAAATTAAAAATTTGTTCTTATTTTCTCTGACAATAGCACATCATACCTACATTCCAAACTAAACCAACAAGCACAAGTTTTGACATTAAAAAAAACCCCAATGTACATTTTCAATGTAAAAATCAGGAAATTGCTCCTTAGAATACACATGAAAAATGCTCAGTACAGGTATTTCTCATATCTTGACACACCAGTATACTCCTCCTTTAACACATGAGTTTTCACTCCCAAAGGAAGTTTAATAACAAAATGAGAGGAAAAGAAGAAAAGTGCAACAGAAAAGGGACACACAGTATTTAACCTCACCAGTATACTCCTCCTTTAACATATGAGTTTTCACTCCCAAAGTAAGTTTAATAACAAAATGAGAGGAAAAGTGCAACAGAAAAACACTAAAAGGGACACACAGTATTTAACCTTCCCAGGTAAACTTCAAATAGAACTGCCCAAAGAAAACACAATTATTTGATAGTTGTTTCTTCTTAACTCTGTGTGATGAGCCACGCAGTGAGCAGGTTTTATTCAGAGGCTAACTTGTGTTTTATGTTGAGAACTCCTGCAAAACTGCCTGGTTTTATTTGTGAATGGCAGATCACCATTTCAGCATTCTGCTGCTATGGCAATTCCAGCATCAAACAGTCAGGAGATAAACAGGACCTTAGACATATTCATCCAGATCCCTACTTTGGGATAAGTCATCCAGAGCGTGTTCATTGTCAGCCCCAGCACACATCTGCCTTACATCTGTTTCTGTGTACTCCCTACCCCCATTTGGTGAAGGTTTGCACACAAAAGCTGAGACAGGATAGTCAGGTTAACAGTTTGACAGTCTGAGCATCACAGGCCTCCCAGGCATGGCAAAAAATGGCCAGATTCAAAGAAATCTTTTGATACAGCTTTTTCTTTTTCACATGTTCATGGCAAAAAAAAAAAAAAATAGAGAAGGGGGTGATTTACCATCTGTCATTATAGAGCTGTCCCTCATCCCACCCTTAAACTGACTCATGCTTCTCAAGTAGGTAACAGCATTAATAAACTGAAATTACATTTAGTTCTCAGTAAATTACAATATGGAGAGTTTGGGTTTCTCTTTTACAGGATCGCTCTATAACCGGAGGTCTCCACTATAAGGAATGGATAATTTAAAGTGGTTGCATTATGTGATGTAGGAATGAGTGTTCCCTACAGATTTAACTTAATTTTTGCCAATGAATCAAAACCCTTTCTTTGTTAAGTACTTGAAGATGCCCAGCGAGCTTGCTGTTCCTGGAATTAAAGTAATCAATGGATAATGTGGGCAAGAGGAAGGACAAAAAACCCCATAAAATAATCATCTCATATTTTAGCCATTTCCCTCTGCAGATCAGTTTTAGAGGAGTAGAAAAGAGCTGTTGTCTCCGGTAGTACTGGGAGCAAGATGAATTTGTGTATTTGGAAGAGATTTGCAAGATAACTTGTAGATTATATGATGAACACACACGTATTTCCATATAGAAATGGAGCTAAATATAAATATTGATAAAATGTAAAAGTAGTCCAAGCTATTTTTTGCTATACCCTAATACCATGGAAAAAAATAAGGAGATTCAGAAGATATGTGGAATATTTATTTATTAAACTGGGGAGGAATGTTTCTCCTATGCCACAACTAGGAAACAAATTCCTATGTATGCCACTGCAACATTTTTTTCCATCTGTTTACTAGCTTAGTAAATAAGCAGCAGTGGTTCACTAGATTGTCTTTAGAAAGAACCAGACAGGTAGGATGCATATCCAAATACATAACAGAACAAAAGGCAAATCTATTCCCTGCAACAGCAGTGGAACATGATCCAGGAGGATTACTCCCCACTGCAGTCCCCCAACTGTAATTCCAGTTCCCTCCACCTGCCCTCATTTCCACCTCGTGCTGCACTAGGTACAGCTCTGTCTAGGGACAGCAGCTTCTCCAGTGCCAGCGTGTGCAGCCTTGATGAACGACATGGGAGGGTTTTCTGTGTGTCCCTAACTTGTCCATCCCTGTGGTGGCCTGCAGGAGCACGGCATCCCCACGGGCATGGGCTACGCGGTGGCCCCGCACCACTCCGGCGTGTACCCGGTGCACGTGCAGCTCTACGAGGCCTGGAAGAAGGTGTGGCACATCCGTGTGACCAGCACAGAGGAGTACCCGCACCTGAAGCCTGCACGGTACAGACGGGGCTTCATCCACAATGGCATCATGGTACACTGCATTTCCATGTTCATAGCAATACTACTGCAGGGACCCCAGAGGGGCTGCTCTCACTGCAGGCCTCACCTCTGCCAGCATCCTTAAAAATTCCCTGCGATCCAGCAGCTGTAAGGATGCCCAAAGAGTGCATTTAAAAGAAGGGAAAAAAACAAGTCACACAGACTCAGGCAACTGCAGAAGTATTCCTCAGAAACTAAATGTGCTCCTGGCCCCATCGACTACCAGCCGAGTCATGGCTGCACTCTGTGAAATCATTAAACTGCCCAAGACCTCTGTTCCCAGCTCTGCTTCATCTTTATGCATGAAAGGATTAGAAATCCATCACCTGGGAAGGTGAACAGGTGGCAGTAATCTCCTCCAGCACTTCTGCAGGGCTGAAGTTGCAGCTCTGCTCCTGAAATTCCCAGAGGCAGGACTGGGACACCTGCCTACCTCTTACACCCTGTGCACTTTGCCAGGGGAGAGAAGGCTCTTCCCAGGCACTTAGAAGTGCACAGAGGACAGGAAAACTTAGCAAGCCCTTTGGCCTGTCCTACCAGCCAGCTGCAAACCTCTAGGCTGGGTGTGCTAAAGTCAGCTGACAAATATTCCAGGGGATGCTTTCAAGTCCCAAACACTGCTCTGAATATTGCCTGTGCATACCAAGTCCAACTTGTCATCCCCTAAACAAGGCAGAGGGAGTGTCTCAAAAGCAAATTCCTGCAGAGCCAAATTACTGCTGGAACAGACTCAAAATCAGCAGTGTTTTTACACATGTACCCAAATGCTCTATAAATGCAGGTTTCGGTTGTTGTTTTAACTGAGTAAAAAATTACAAAATACTGAATTGAATTAAGGGAAACAAAAGACCTTCCCCAGGCTGATTATGGCACTGCAATACCTGTGTAAGCTGCTGTTCCTCTGTTCCCAGGTGCTCCCTCGACAGACCTGTGGCCTTTTCACTCACACTATTTTTTACAAGGAATATCCTGGTGGTCCTCAGGAGCTGGACAAAAGTATCCGAGGAGGTGAACTGTTCCTCACCATTCTCCTGAACCCCGTAGGTACCTTCTTTTGCTGTTGTTTGGGTGTGCTAACAGGGAGGAGGGAGGGAAGGAGATCAGGTTGGGAAATAAGAACCAGGACCACTTGCTCAGAGGTATCAATCAGTTTAAGAAGAAAGGAGGAAAATGTCTTCTGCCAATTTCCAGCTACAACCACACGTGCAACAATTTCCTGGGGAATACATTAATTCCAGCACCTTATTGTTTCCCAGCCTGAAGCCAGGTCCCCCTAAGAGACATGTCTGAAGCTGAAACTGACCTGTGAGGGCAAAAAAACTGATCTTGTTAATTTTTTTTCTTTTTTCCATGAACTTGGCTCCTCAGGCACTCCTCACACAGCTCAATGGAAACCCCAGGGCTCAGGCCTGATATCATTTCTCCATCACCAGCTCCTAAAAACAGGTTTTGAGCTGCTAAAAAACCGCCTGGTACCATTTAAGACAGGAGCCTAGAGGTGCAAGGAGCAAGGGAAAGAGCCAAAACCCCCCAACAGAGCAATTATTTTTTCTTGACATTGTCCTCTCTCCTTCCCATTCCACCCAAACAAGCTGCACTAGGCACAAGATGAATGTCCCTTGTCTTGCCAGGTGGCCTCATTTTCAGTGAGTTTAAACTGCAGTACTCATTGACTCCTCTGCAGAGCTAAAGAAACTTCAGGTGGAGTTGACTCTCAAATCCAGGTCACTTTTATTTAAACACCTAAATATAGATTTTTGGTGTTATACAGTCAGATGCTGGTGAGTGAACAGTTGGCTGGGTGAGTTGGTGTCCGAGTCAGGTTCAGTGTTCTTAAAGAAATGGAACATTTCTATCAGGAATTTTTCTATACCATACACATGACACCTCATTTGAGAATAAAACACATCCCTCTTCTTGATCCTGTCTCCCCATTACTTGCAGTCTCCTCAAGCTGGCTTTTCTTCCCATGCTTTCCTGAAGCATAGCTCGGAATTCACACTGAGCTGTATCATGCTTGCATGAATACCTGTGCATTTCTCATAATGTGAAGATTTCCTCAGGTCTGGGCAGTGCAGCAGCCTGCAGCAGAGCGTGTAGAGCTCCTTACCCCACGAGCAATGCTTAGAACAGCCCAAATTCCTCAGCCAACCAGTGCCCCAATACCCTGAGAGTGCCCTAGATATTGGGGGTGGGATTTGAAAAAACTGCAACGATCAACGTTTGATTAAACAGTTTTTCAAGAGGTTTATAGAAACTCTGTCCCTTCCTCAGGGCGTGGTTAGCAATTTCAGCAAATGTATTACAAATACCTATTAAGCTCAAATACCAAAAATGTTTGTACTTCCATGAAGCAATACCACCAGATGGTTAAATTAGAAAGTGCCCAAGGGACACTGCATTGGAATAAAGTTTGCAGAGAGATTGTCATGGGGATCTTCTGATGGATTTTTTTTTTTAAATGGCTTCTGCTGAATACTCAGAGAGATATTCTCACTTTCTAATTTATGAGTCCTAAAGATGAGTCATGTCTGGCAGTGATGATTTAGTAGTAGGCAGAGGAGGGATAAATTCCACCAAGACAGACAGAAATCAAACCAACTTCCTTGGAGTTTTAATGAGGCTTGCAAGAATCCCAGGCAGACCTTTCCAGAACCCAGCTAAGGCTGCTCAAATCTGCAGTTTGGGCTACTTACTCTTTGCATGAACACTTCAAAGCAAAGCTCATTACAGTCAGTAGGGAAGGCTCAGCAAACAGGCTGGGCTTGAAATAAACACAAACAGCCAAACTCTTTCAAAGGTATCAATCCAGCCCCCCTCTGCAGGGTTTCCTTCATTTGGAGGCTAAGAGAAATAACAAGGAGCTTCAGATGTATGTATAAATAAGAAATACAAATACAGTTTGGGGCAGAAAATGAAATATTATCTTCTTGGACTTCTGCTTTACTATTTGATACAAGTAAGAAAAATTTCAGTTTAAAGTTTCTTATCTCCCTTGCCAGACCAAAGCTGGATGTTCAATCAGGGTTGAGTTACAATCATCTTTGATGTTATTTACTGTGTGGTTTGACAAACATCAAAACCCAGTTAGTCACTAAATCTTAATTAGGACAGGCCTCCCAAAAGCTGTAGCATCAGCACTTGCACAGCAGCAGTGAAAAGAGAGCAGCAAGGAAAGAAGGGAAGAGGAAAAAATTACATCTAAAACTACAACCAACCAAAATGTAAAAAAGCTTTACAAAACCGGTTTTGTGCCCAATCTAATTTTGATAGCAAAATAAAACTTGTCCCAACACTATGATTCTTGTGATAGCATAAGTATCTCTATTAAGTGTAGTTAGATCTTAAGGCAAGAAAACACATTAATACTCAAAAAATACATTGCTACTCATGATGTATCTTCAAAGACAGGAGTGCAATACCAAAGAGCATCAGACAAGAAAATCGCCATGTCCTCAACAGGAATTTAACACTACCCAGCTATGTAAATATGGTAGAAAATCCTCTGGTTCTGATCAGCATTGTGAAAAAATATTTAGGCTTTCTGCAGGTGTGCAGCATTCCACAGCTCCAGCAGCAGAAGCAAAGTCAGCCTGAAACACGTAAAAATTTATTTTCTGTTTAAAACCATGTTGAACAGCATCACATAATTTTTTCTTTCTTCCTAAACCTTCCCAATTCTTTACAACTTTTTGCAGTGCTTTGATATGTCTTTTTAACATTTGCTTCATTGGGTTATATAAGATGAAAAAAAGCTTATGGCATTTCAAAGGAGTTCAACATTTCAGTTATTTTCAGCCTTTTTAAAATTCTACCTCTCATTATTTGCTTAGCTTAATTGTGCTTTAGAATAACTTTTTCTTCTCACGGAACATGTTCTTAACATCTCCCTTCCTCACTGTTTATTTCACCAGTGCTGTGCCACATTGGTTTCCTTTTAAACCTCTTCCCATCAACTCTCCAGGCAATTCTGGTTTTGCCACATTCCATAGAGAAACACAAGGTAACCAGCAGTAAAACCAGCCTGCTTTAAGGTGCCTGCTTTTTTTTTTTTTTTTGGAAAGGGAGTTTTGTGTGGAAGCTGTGCTATTTTCCCAAGCCCCCATCATCTGCTATCATGACCAAACACAGAGCAGGAGGTGGAGAGAGCAAATGGGATGAAGAGAGCAAATTCCTTGCTTTGCTTCCAAATGTAACCCAGGGAAATTCAGAATTAAAAGCAACCCATTTGTAACTAAGTCCCCAGAACCGAAATGCTTTTAACAGCAGGAAAAAAAGAAAAAAGTTTCTCATAAGAAAAGTTAGAGAACTCCATTGGAGTTGAAGTTTTCAGGGAGATTTTCCACATCCAAATGTCAGGCTCAAAACTGAGTGGGTTCTCTGACCCTGCCCTTCACTCAGTCTCTGGGGAAGAGCCTGACACGTTTAATGCTTTTACAAACTGTTCTATTTATCACCTCTTGAGCATCCACAAGGTCTCCCACTATCTCTTTCATGGCTCCTTTCCTTTCCTCCCCTGCTCCACAGGCCATAAACAACAGCCATAAACATTTAACAGCCAAGATAAGCTAATAAATACAGCCCTAAATATTATTGCCTCTACAAACAACAGCGAGAGAGTCATTTCTCCTAAAAAAAACCACCTCTTAAAACCAGAGAGATTTTTATTAAGCCAGCAAGTGACAGCACAAAGGCACCTCAGTCGAGCACTACAGCAAGAATGAGTGCATGGGGCTTTGAGGAGAAGCAGCAGCACCCACGGTACTGGTTGAGCAGTCAGTGAATTGGATTTATTTGCCAATGTGATGCACATTTTCCCTTTACCTGTTCACCTTGAAAAGCTTTTGGATAACCCAAAATCCTGGCACCTCTCGCCTGCAGCACCCTTCCTACTCTTCCTTTCTCTCCTTGTTACACAGGAATTCACCTGGGCTGACTCTTCCTTTCCCCTTCCTCTCACAGGGTGTTTTTACTCTTTCTCCCACTGACTCCTTTCCGTAGTTCCACCATAAAAATGGGCACAAGTCTTTTTTTCTGCCTATTTTTATACATCTATAACCCTGCCTACTCTAGATTTACACCTGCCTCACCACACAGGATCTAGAGTCAGGCACACCCCGCTCGGCATTTGGCCCAGAAAGCCACCAAAGTATCGCGTATTTGCAACTGACAGATCAGGTTAAAAATGGAAAAGCAGCAGAAAAAGGGAGAAGTTAAACACTTCTTCAGGCTTCTCTTCCCACTTCAATCAAACAGCCCTAAGAAGCTTTAACCAGAGGTGAAACGTGGCAGATGAATTTCAGGAAGATTAGCTTTTCTTTGCAGGAATTTGGTTGTCGAGAGCGAAATCAGACCTGTGATTGAAATGTAACTTTGAACTCCCCTCAGCAGAAGCTACAGGCAGCCCATAATAATGTACATTATTATTCCAACTCCCTGGGAAGTGGCATGGGACGCTTTTAATTCTGAGGGCCACTTAAAGGCATTTCCATTTTTAAACTCTCACCGTGACTAAAGGGCTCTTGCTCATTTCCAGCCTGTTAGATCTGCATTCTCCACGTCCCGCATGTGCCACACTTGGCAGATTTTGTTCTTGTTCCCTGCTCTCTCTCTCCTCACAGAGACAGAGGAGAATCGCACGTTATTGCTCTGCCATATTAAAAGTAAATGCAGAGAGGGGTTAATTTATACCTTCCACAAGAGATTTGGGAATGTTATTATGGAACATCTTGAGCGTTGGTAATGTTTTTCTTTTTATTTGCTTTGTTTCTCTGAGCATAGTTATAGAAAGAATAAAAAATAACCTTGGGCATTGTAGGAAGCGTGCTGCAACCCAAAAGTAATTCACAGCACAGTTTGAGCATCTCAGCACATTCTGGGGACAGGAAAAAGCAGGCAGGAAACCTCCCAATAAAAATTGTCAATATTTGTGGAGCTGCAGTTTTCAGGGTGCAGCCCACAGGGACAGACACATCCCTCTCCAACCTGAAGAGAGGGAAAGGTTCATTCCACCAAATTAAAAGGGAGTTTTGTTAACAAG